GTCATTTTGCTACTGTGATGAATCGGGCAACCCCTGTGAAAGGGTCGTTCGACCCCTGAAGGGGTTGCGACCCACAAATTGAGAACCGCTGTTATAAGAGCTCTAAGAGTCCCCAATAAAATGATTTATTAATTCAAAAGAAACCAAGAAAATACCGACTGTTGTCGTTAGGTGCCATTGTGTGGGCTACGACCCACCGCCACTCTATGCACAACAGAATGAAACACTACACGGTCCTGCACCATCCTTACAATTGTCCCTCTACCTGAGCCCATTGTTAAGGTCACAGGGTCAATCCATCTTGTCAAAGGCCTTCCTCTCCTTCACTGCCCTTCCATTTAACCAAGCCCGATGTTCTTCTCCAGGGACTAGTCTCTCCTGACAACATGTCCAAAGTATGTAAGATGAAATCTTGCAATCCTTTCCTCTAAAGAGCATCCTTTCCCAAGACGGATCTGTTTATCCTTTTCACAATCCATGGCTCTTTCAATATACCTTTCAAGCACCACAATTCAAGTACATCGATTCTTCTTTAGTCTTTCTTATTCCATGTCCAACTTTCACATGCATATGAGGCAACTGAAATGCCATTGCTTGGGTCAGGTGCACCTTAGTCCTCAAAGTAACATCCTTGCTTTCAATACTCTGAAAAGGTCTTGTGTAGGAGATTTACCAATGCAATGCATCTTTTGATCTCTTGACTGCTGCTTCTGTGAGCACCGATTGTGGATTCAAGCATGACAAAATCCTTGACAACATCAACCTTTTCTCCATTTATCATGACGTTACCTATTGGTCCAATTGTGAGGATTCTGGTTTGCCTTACATTGAGTCATAATCCACACTGAAGGCTGAAATTTGTGATCGTCATTAAGTGCTTCAAGTCCTCCTCACTTTCAGCAAGCAAGGTTATATCATTTGCATATCGCAGGTTGTTAATAAACCTTCCTCTAATCCTGATGCCAAATTCTCTTCATACAATCCAGCTTCTCTGCTTATTTGTTCAGCATACAGCTAGAACAAGTATGGTGAGAGGACACAACCCTGTTACCTTTCTTGATTTTAAGCCAGGTAGTATTCCTTTGTTCTGTTAGCACAACTGCCTCTTGATCCGTGTACAAGTTCCTCATGAGCACAATGAAGTGTTCTGGAATTCCCATTCTTCTCAGATTATCCATAGTTTATTATGGTCCACACAGTCCCATGCTTTGGTATCATCAATAAAATTCCAGTAAACAACTTTCTGGTATTCTTTGCTTTGAGCCCAGATCCCTCTAACATCAGCAATAATATCTCTTGTTTCATGTCCTTTTCTGAATCTGGCCTGAACTTCTGGAAGTTCCCTGTCAAAAGGACCACCTAGGGAATTTCAATTTACCTATAGGGTTTGCACATGTGGCTTGCATTGTGGTTCCACTGAATGGCTCTGGTCTATGAGAAAAGTATTCTCTCTTTCTAGAGTAAATGGCAAGTGCAAAGGTCCCGAGGGAAGGGCTCAGGATGCCAGGGCAGATTGAGCCAGGGAACCAGTGGCAGAAGTAGAAATGCACCCAGTCCACTAGGACCTTGATGCTGGAAGTGGGCTTTAATTTAAGTGCAACGGAGAGGCTGTTTTAGGCAGGGAAGTGGCATGGGCTTAGTTACAGTTAATAGATTCCTGTGGCTGTTGAGAGTGGAGAGCCAACACCATTGGTAGCTAGAAGGTCAGTTACACATTTCTGGCAGGTCAAAAGGGAGCCCAGGCTATGTAGTGGTCACACATTGGGCTGCTAACTGCAAGATCAGTGGTTGGAAACCACCTGCACGGCAGGAGAAGGATGAGGCTCTCTACTCCTGTCGAAAGTTACAGTGTCAGAAATTCACAGGGTCGCTATGAGTCAGAATCAACTCAATGGAAGTGAGTTTGGTTTCTGGTTTGGTGGCTGAAAGGCAGGGCGTAGTAAGATGAAGAATTCTGAGTTTCATTCTTGTTGGAGCCAGATTCATTTGTGGCCCTGGCCTTCCCTGGGGACCCAGTCTCTCCACCTGTTCTCTAGCGTCAATCAGCCCGAGCCCCACTCGGCGCAGGAGGCTCCTTCCCGGAAGCCTGCAGGAGCGCCCGCCAGCGGCAGGGGGCGCCTCCTCGATGACTCGGCGCTCGGCTGGCCAGGCGCCGGCCGGTGGCCCGCTCGATTGGTCGGGTCGGGGTGGGCCAGCGCCATTGAGGAGCTGCTGAGAGGAAGCGCCGCGCAGCGCTGCGCCGGGCTGGGGCGGGCGGCCCGGGACGTCGACAGGTAGGGGGGCTGAGGCGGCCCGCGCCGGCCGGCAGGTGGGGCCGGGGACAGGCGGGTTGGCGCGGGCCTGCGGCCGGCCGCCTCCGTGCGTCCTCAGATCTGGGAGCCCGGGCCCACCTGAGGGGAGGGCGACGCTGGGCACCCGCGGGACCCGGGCGACCGGCCCTCCCGCCAGCCGTCTGAGCGCCTCTGGGGAGCCCCGGGCGACTGAACCCCGAAACGCCTAAGTCCCGCGCTCCGCTGGTGATTCCTGCGTCCGAGCGCCCGCGGGCACCCTAGACTTGGGATCCGGGCTGGCTGAGCCTCCGGGGACCCCTGCACCGTGGGGCGTCCGAACCCCCGACGCCCTTTCCAAGGTCTGGCCTGGCTGACGACCCGGCACGGGGGACGGAGGTGGGGCGGGGCGGGTGTCAGCCCGCATTTCCCTGCCGGAGCCCTGGTCGGTCGTCATGCGAGAGACCCCGGCTCACCAGACTGTTTTCGTCACCCCGAAACCGCCCCTCCTGCCCCCAGGCCACGCTCTGGGGGTGGGAACGTCAGGCTCCTCACCTGTCTTAACCTCTGACCCCGGGACATACTCTGCTGAGTCCCTGCTCCCAAGCCTTAAAGCCCGGCGCCTTCCTCTCCCGGCCTTAGGTGGGACGTGGGGGTGTCACTGTCCCTGGAGGGAGCTCCAGGTTCTGAGGGCCGAGGCTGGGAGCCCCGCCTGCCTGGCAGCGCTCCCCCCGGGGGGCCTTCCTGCTGGACACCCTCCCCTCCCTGTTGCGCTTGGCCCAGGCCTCTGGCGCGGGGCGCAGGCCGGGCTCCCGGGCTCCGGGGCTCCGCCGCCCCTCGGAGGAGGGGCCTGGCTCAAGGTCGTGCCCGGCTGTCTGCCCGCACATGGAGTGAGCACACTGATCCCCCAGTGTCGCCTGCTCCGCCGGGCTGGGGAGGCCAGGTGGGCATTGGTGCCAGGCAGCTTGCCTTGTAGCCCTGAAGGCCTTTAGTGTCAACATTTTAGGGTCCTGGCCAGCCTGGCGGAACCTCGCAGACACCAGAAGTGGCTTCAAGCCCGGTCTAGATGCTTAGCAGAGCGGATGGACGCATTCTTGCTTGGACTTACTCAGTTTACGCACCAGGGAGTCTACAGATCTGTACTTTGTGTTTTTGCGTCGCCCGGGATCAGAGTGAAGTCTGATCCTATGTACAAACTGACAGCAGTTTCCCTTTACTGGGAAACTTCAGAGAGAACCGACATTCAGGGTGGAATTCAGAGGGAACAATTCCCCAAATAAAGAATACGCTGACCTTGCCCCCTTGCCTCGCTGTCTTTGAACTTCATGTCCTAGGGTTAGACTAGTCAGGGTCACACTTTTTTTTTCTTTTAGGCTCATTCTCACCCTTTGTTTTCTCACATTTACTTGTTTACAACAGAAGTATTTTTGTTTTGTGTTAGACTCTCAAACATTTCTTATTTAAGTGTAATTATTTTTGTAATCTCTTTGAGAGTATCTAGATAGACATTCCCAAATCCCTAGAAGATAAGAAAACTTAACTTAAAAAAAGATCTTTGTTGACAAATACAAGTTAATCTTGTTTGGAAGTGAAGATAAAAACAAATTGCTCCTGGAGATCCAATTGCCTCTTACAAAGCCTCCTATGATGAGTCTTAATTTGGTGGCAACCTGTCAGTTGGGATAAGCGCTGGCACTGGGAAGAATCCCTGGAGGTGGGGCAGTGTGCTTGGAAAGGATCCCCCAAGTGCGCTGGTTCCAAGTGGGCCCCATGCCATGGCAAATCTGGAGTGGAGAGTATGGCAGCCGATGACCAGCCGGGGAGGCTCAGCGCAGGCCTTGGCACTCACAGTTCTATTGGGATCTACTAGCTGAGTGATATAAGAACCCATTCAAACTTCGGAGCTTCAATGTCTCTTGTTAAATTCCAGAAAAGAATCATGCTCTCTATTTTTTTTTTCTATTACTGGTAAACCCTATTATAGCAGGTTAGTTGAATCTAAATACTATTGTTGGAACCCAAGCATTTGGGGGTTTATTAACTAGGACAACTCAGAATAGCTAAAAAAAAAAAAAAAAAAAAAAAGCACGGCTTTCTCGCTCCCATTTGCTTGTTTTGTTTTTTTTAAACCAATGATTCCGATGGACAAGTTGGCACCATTGAGTTTGGGCTGCCTTAGTGAGGATCACTGCGGACTGTGAAGTGCATGCCTCAACTTCAGGACATTTTTACCTTCTGCTCCAATAGGATTTCTCCTTGGTTAACATTTTTGGCTGGACATTTTGTTGCATGTGTGTGTATGAGGCTGCTCTGTGCCTTGTAGGCAGTTTCCCAGTATCTCTGGTCGCTGCCCACCTACACAGTGCCACTAGCCAGCCCTCAGTCTGGACAATCTAAATGTCTCCAGACATATGCCTGGCTGAGAATCGCTGACCCATACAATCAGGACAGTATGATCCCCTCCAAAGCAAACAAGCCAAGGAGCCCAGATCCCCAAACAGGCACAACTTTAAATAGTAGGTTTTGGGGATTGAGTTTGCGTGTGACTCCAGCAAAATGTAGTGCATGCTTTGGCTCTCCATTTAGTGATGAGGACAGCTTACCTACTTCTCATCCCACTTTTTAAAATCTGTACTTTGCATTCTTCCCCCTTGGGGGACGGGAGGGGATGTTGCTGGAAATCATCCAGTTTTCCTGTTGTTTCACACCCACCCACTCCTGCTTTTCCTATAGAGTCTTCTGTGACCATGAGAGAAAGAAAGAAAGACTGATCCATGATTTGTAACCACCCTTCCCTGAGGATATAGTCATGTTGGAAGGTCTTGTAGCCTGGGTCCTCAATACCTATCTGGGGAAATACGTCAACAACCTCAACACCGACCAGCTCTCAGTTGCGCTGCTGAAAGGTGAGCACGTGTTTCTCTTTGGGAAGTTGCACAGGGTTGCAGGTGGCGCGTCTTTCATAGTGTTAAGAGTAACAACACCCGATGTGGAGATGACTTCCGGTTAAATACATGTTCCCCTCTGTGACGGGGGTGATTATTAGGGTAAAAGTGTGTAGTGGTATGACTATAGATTTTAGGAAAAGACTGCATCTTGGGTGACTGCTGTAATTAGTGACTCTTCAAGCTTTCTGGTGCTTTCTGGAAGCAGCCACGGTGTGCTGTCCATGACCTTGCTTTTGGCTTCACCGCCCGCCCTGCCTCTTATTAGTTGTGTGGACAGTGATATAGACTCCGGTCTTTAGTTTTCTTTATAAAAAGAGGGTTGTTACACTTGCGAGGGGTGAAGGATGTCACTATTTTTTAGAATCAACTGGAACCCAATGGGCTTTATAAGGCTCAACTGCTGCAACATTTCAAGCTCTTAGCTTTCTGCCATGGAATCACTGCCATTTCTGTGAGCTCTTCAACCGAAGGTCTGAGATGTCGCCCTGGTGGGGAAAACTTTCCCTGGAAAGCTTTAGGCCTGTATTTGGCAATTGCAGCCAGATGATTTGTTTGGTGAAGTGCATTTTTCCCTTTTCCTTGTTTTAATTTAAATTCTCTTTGCCTAACTCAAGTGGAACTGTTAGATCTCTCTGTAGCTAGATATATCTCGGTCCTTGGCTCCACGAGAGAAAGAATTCGAGAGAAAGAATTCACGCTGAAGCCTGGTTCGTGATCCAAGTGAGTTTTATGAGAATTAGAAGAAGTTTCAGGTTTACATGGCACCCATAGGACTCCTCCCGGTCTGCAGCCTGGCTGGAAGCGTCTTGGTGGTACGCAAGAGTGTCCCAAAGTTCCCAGAGTTCTGCCACTAAAGTGTGTGTCCCCCCCCCCCC